CAGCACATTAGCTAAAAGTTACTCTCTAGAACGCTTTACTAGAAAGTGGCCAAAAAGAATCGTCATCTGACTGGTTACCAACTCGAGGTATTGTGAATTGAAATCAGTCTCACTATTCTGCGTAAAATTAACCTGTACTTTGTATGTCAAATGATACATTTTGCAATAACAACTGCGAGACATGATAAATCTTGCATCTTGGTATTTATAAATTTTCGTCTTTTGCCGCCAGTGAATTGCCCTCCTGGGACATATGGAGACAGCGGAAGCAACACTTGTATAGACTGCATCCCTGGGTTTTATCAGGATCAGGAAGGAATGACAGAATGTCAGCCATGTCCAAAGAATTATTCAAACGTTATCACTGGATCCAAATCAAGTGTGGATTGCAAACGTAAGAAAAACTCTGAATTCCGGTGAAGAGTCATTAAGAGAAACTGAAGTTGCTTTTGAATAATCGGTCGGGTGACTTAACGAGACATGCACCACCAAACTTCTTAATGTGAATATTTTTTTTCATCCTTTAACGATTGGGATTCGATTATACAGATTATTGTATTCAGAAAGTAACCTTGGGTTGAAATTCCCTTCCTTATGTGCCGAGGGGTTAATGTTTTTGGTAATATAAATCAGTTTTTCAAGAATTGCTTGTTGAAGAAATTTTTAGTTTGTTTTTTGAAGGACTTATATCTCCTAATTCCATTAAATTAACCTGGCTTTTTCGTCAGTGATCTGCCGGCCTGGTTACTATTCTACTAATCATGGGATCACGCCCTGTGTGGAATGCCCAATGGGAACATACCAGGAAAACGATCAGCAAACTATGTGCCACGCATGCCCAATGGGCACAAATACAGCAAGCGCCGGAAGAACTTCACTTGAAGACTGCACGTGTGAGTACATTTTTTTCTGAAATGTCTTTCATTGACTAGGTGGGGTTAATTAAGATAAATTATTTTATCGCCTCCGCGACCTTAATAGCCTGATAAGTATAAAATCTTAAAAACCATCCCAAAAAAGGTTCTGATTTCTTCTGTAACGGTACGACTTAACGTGGAAATGGTAAAACTTGTTTTACACTAAAAAACCCCCGGTTGCACTTTTAATGTAAATTGCTATCAACAAAAATCTTGCACCTCCAAAAACTAATTTGACAACTCTTAACTCAAGTCTTTGGATTGCAAATTTGTAGTATTTAGTCAAAGCTCTATTCTTGGAAACGTCTTTTTTTATGCCAGCGCCAGTTCGCATCACAGAAACTATCCCGACCTCGGATCACACCGCATACGAAAACTCGACCATTTCACTTGAGTGCCTTATTTCTGGTGTCCCGGCACCTACAGTCACGTGGTCTAAAGTGGGAGGTAAGTCTTCCTGCTTAGCTCTGTGCACATAGTCCATCAAATTAACTGACAATCCTTTGCCTATAAACCTTTAGGGCTGTTTCTTGGAAGTGTTCCTGCGCGTGTCGCTTTTAAAAATGTTCCAGAAAACTAAAAATTCAAACGACAAACTAACCATGCTAGCTCACAAAAACTGAACTTTATAATAGTTACAGGAAAAGTTAGGCCAATAATGAGGTTTTTGATGTTCTAATTAGTCCTTAAGAAAATTAAGTTTGAAGCTGGCAAGTAGATTAGCATTCTTTTGGTGTGATATAAATGAGCGCTACGTTAATATCTTTCAAATTCCGTAAAGCCCAACACCGGCTGTGATTCCATGCGTGATGAGCAGCCTGGAAAATTTCAAAAGCAATTCTGGAAAATTTGAAAGCAATTTCATGACGGGAGCTCCGCGATAAGGCAACTTAAGAAACGTCTGCTTTTTGAGGGTCTGTCAATAAATGTGCCTTTCAGTGATGACCCTAAGTTATGTGCACACTGGAAGATCTCTCTTGTTTCAATTATTTCAATTAGAAAGTGATACATTTAGACTGGAAGTAAAATAGGGACGGATGCTAATATCTCAGTCGAGGTTTTTTTTTTTTTTAATCTCATGCTTACCTCTCGGTTTCTGACAAGCTAATGTCCTTCCACTTCTATGATTCTTACAGGCTCTCTTCCATCCCAGGACCGTCTTGTCATCCAAAACATTCTTGACCCGGACAACAAGCTGTCTGGTGTCAGGTACACTATATCTAAGGTTGTAGTGGCCGACTCTGGTACGTACGAGTGTATAGCCACCAATAAAAACAAGGCAGTCACCAAGCAAGTTATAATCAACGTGCAAGCTGAGTAACCAATTGGTGAAGCCCCCACCTAGGTGAGCGACTATATCTCTTATTGAGTTTCCTATCAGAGGGGGAGAGGGGGGGTTAACATCTATTTATTGAATCAAAGTTGTTTGTAGGGCTCGAGAATAATGTGTTTAGCCCTTCACCGAGCCCCACTCTAGATCCTTGGAAACTTCAACACAACTCCTCGTCGTGTAATTCACGTGTGCATAAAGAGAATATATGATAATTTGCATATCGATTGAGTTGATATCGTGAAATGGCCATCGTAGAGCTGGCGTTTCGAGCGTTAGCCTCTCATCAGAGCGAAGGAATGAGTCCGCAGCATGCAGGGGTTGGTATTACGAGCGAATAAAGTATATCTTTTCTAACATAAGTCCTTTTATTTCTTTACTCTCATAGATATCCTCATGCCTGACATGGTATATTTTTCCGTATGGTTACATGGTTGCAGCGATTTAATTTGGTCTTGTAATTGAATTACGGGTTGATGGGAAGACCCTAATAAATGTAACTTAAACACAGCCTACTTCGTTTGATTTTTTAAGTTCTGTTTGAAAACTTAATGACACTTGATAAGAAGTAATTATGAAAATTGCAGTGATATGAAAATGATAATGATACTATCATAATATCGAAAATAATATATTTCACTCTCCTCAAACAGGTGATATTATCACACTAAAGTGGAATAGATATATCTGAGAAACGTTTCCACTTAAATGCGCGCGCGTAGGCCTTGTCAGTTAAAAGAAGAGTAAAACGTAAAGTTCTAAGAAATGTTGCGGAAAATTTAAAATTTTGCCTCACTACCGACATGAGAGGGACAAAGTTACTAATATTCAAAGAGAATGCGCTGCTGCATTGGCGGGAAATTGTAGCGAAAAGAGACTGACCTACGGGCTGAGTCAAGGTGAAATTGTCTCACGACAGATAGGAGATTGTTTCTTTCGGGGCAAGAAACAGACTAAGAGTTAAATTACAACAACAATTTGAAAGGACGTTCACAAGGTTTCTATCGGCTTAGTTATCTTTTACTGGTCATTTTTATAAAGGGAAAACCGAGAAAATTTTCGTCGTGCACTGAATAGAGCTATCATTGCCAGTTTACCTTAGCTAAAAATGACGTCTTAATGCAAAATATCGCCCCAATACAATTTTCATTTGATACTTCCCGTCCTGAAATGATAATGGTGATGAAGATTTTTCTGAGAGTAAGAACGCTAACAAAAGTAGTACTAAGAAGATGGAGACAAAAAGAGACAGCAGCTACAAGCAAGCCTGTTTAATGAATGCTAAGTACAAAGATAACTGTAAACTAAGTATTTCCCTGAAAGGGAAAGCCTCCCTTTAATTACCAATGGCTGTTGCTACTTATCGGCTTGTTTCCATCTAAAAGATGAGCCATCTTTAGATTCTCTAAACAGATCGATAACAAAAAAGACGAATTGGTCGTCATAACAAACAAAACGTGGAAATTCCTGTTCCAAAAGAAAGTGTAAAACCCTGGGCAGACTTTGGCCATAGGAGCCAAAGAAGATTGGGATTTCTGGGTAAAAAATGTCTCAAAGGTAGTAAATCGTAGACAATTTTGTTCCCCTCTCTTTAACATTCATCCAACTCTCACTTGAGTGGGTTTCAGGGTTACATGCTCAAGACAAACACAGAAGCAAATTTTCCTCGTAGCATTGGAAAGGGTTTATGCTATACAGATTCTTAAGATTTGTACCCACTCAATGTTTAAATTTTACCATTTTCTTGGAAAGAACACGAAGGAATAATTTTCTCTTTTGATGGGATCCCTCTGTTGTTTTAAGTCTTACCTTTATATGAGACAGCCATACAACTCAATGCGCATGCATAGCCATCTGTGGTAGGACAATGGATAGATTTTGACACAGCGAGCGTGGAATGGCGGAACAAACTCATGGGTAACAATGGAGTCGTGATCATAATTTCCACGAAATACCTGTAGGAAAACTGTGCTTATTATCAGCTACACACATTCGTATTCAAAACACATTTTAAAATATTTATGTGAATTTAAACTCACTTACTGCTACTCACGAAATCTATCGGGTGATTAATCAGCCCTGATCGATTTGGAGTCATATAACCAATTAGTATAGGTAATCGCATGGGGCCGAGTAAAATTAAGGATTAATATCACGCGTGTTTTCGGAAGTTGCTGAAATTGCCCGAGTCGCTCAGCGACAAAGGCAATTTCTGCAGTGCAGAATTTCTAAATATTTGTGATTGTTCACTGCTCAATAATACAAGGTAAGTTGTACCTACCCCGAATTGACCCTGCCACGTGACTGTGTCTAATGCTTCTTTTCGGGAGAGATGCTTCATGAGCTTTGTCTTCTTCGGCTTTGGAAACCTGGTTTAACATTTTCATTTTATAAAAGTTATAAAAGTTATTTTCTTGGAAGAATATTTTATTCTTAGATCTGATTTTAAATTTCTATTCTAATTATCCAGCCCGTCAGCCCTGTTTGTTTGCTTTTTACTGTCAAGACAGTCAGACATCTAGTGAGTTTTACGCCTTAACAAATTGAACAGTAGGAATGCTATAATTATAACTTAGCAAAATTTAGAGGCACTAAAATTGATTTTGTCATTTTAATAAGTTGTTCAGATTGCTCCATAAATGAAGATCGTAATTTTTTATTTTGATGTACGTAATAATCGTGTTAAAAACTATGTAGTCAAAGAGTCATTGATAACTTTAAATGATAATGCCTGTGAATACGAGCGAAGGAATTTGTATCTACCCAAAGTTGACGTGGCCGAGTGACTGCGTCCAGTGCTTCTTTTCATCAGAGATTTTCCGGAAGCTTTGTTTTCTTTGGCATCGGAAGTCTCGTTTAAAAAGATGGGAAACATCACATTTGTATTCTAGAGAACTATGTGCCTAATCATTGAAAACTTCTATTCTAATTAAGATCTGACCGTTAATTTCTTTTCTGGCCATCCACCATGTAAACCAGATTTAGTAGCTATTTAATTCAATTTCTTTGATTCTCACCATCAAGACAGTTACATCTTTAGATCGATGATGGCCACTCGCCTTCGTCATGTTTGATTGACTACAAGACAACTCAAGAATACTAGTAAAAGTTATTTGAGAGTATTTGGGAATAAGATCCGAAGATGCTTATAAACATCTCTAGCAGTAAAAGTTGTTCGTACTTTTCTTAACGAAAGGGAAGGGTGTGAAAACAACGCCTCTTAAACTTCAAGTCAATGGCTGTTTATCAAGCTAACCTGCTTGTTTCGAAAATTTTGTTTTCATATACTTAGTCCTGGAGAGACCTGCTAGAATACTCAAACCACAGCTTATGATGGCTGCTGCTAGATATTGGCTACAGCTTTGTGGCATTTTGGACCGTGCTGAGACGCAAATCACCTGATGTTTGAAATTCCCTTGGCCAGTAGATCATGGCCAACATCTCTTTGATATTCAATCAAAAATTTATCTCTGTTTCGACGTTACTTTCGCTTTATTGTCCAACTTGGGAGAGAACTGAGACAAATTGATTTGCACGGTTGAATATCATGATCGGCCTCAATACGAGCCTTACTTCGCCGTCACTCTTTAGATAGTAGAAAAACCTTTTTTGTAAGTTTCGGCCAATCAAGTTTTATCGTGATAGTTTTATGATTGGCCCCGGTAGACAAGCTCTTCCTTTGGTTGGGAAATTTAAAAGTGGTAACACTCTCCCTTAAATTTTTGAGGCTATCGCAGCGATGAAATGAGTTGCAGCCACCTAGTTTGGAAATAATATAAGCAGTCCGCACCGAGACTTTTTTTTGTAATAATGCCAGAATACTCACCAGAAAGTTTTTCGCTTCGAGAGAAACTCCAAATAAAACGAGAACCAGAATGAAATTGCTAAATCGAAACATCGCAACCTGAATGACAACTTGGGTTTGTCGAAAAACTTGCACTGAAGCAATTAAAACAGTAAAGATGGATGATATATGTTTATGGGCACCAACACTCTAGAAACCTCGCAAATAATTTGAACTACAACCACATAGCAATATTAATTGTATTCTTATGCCGCTTCTTCTTGGAAGGCAAAGCCTTAGAAAATAATGAAGAACGACTGTACATCTTTAACACAGCATAAATGATGCAAATTCGACGCAAAACACCACTTTGAGGTAAAATTTACGTACTTTAAAGGTATCACTTTCAAACGCTTTGAGGTAGTTTTACAAGCGTGCTTTTTTAATATAAATATCATCAGGAAATTCTAGGGCAAGACAGTGAAAATATATGAAAGTAGAGATTATTAAAGCAAGTTAAACTGCTCTTTTGCTTTTACCATTGCCTTGATACCATACTTTTCAAGGTAATTCGTGAATTATATGAAATGTTTTCTTCTGCATTTTTATGAGGATAAAATGATCTTAGCGAGTGTGTTTATAAAACTAGTCTGATAAATCAAACAATACTTCAATGCTGTGTTTCTCAGCAGAGTTGTGTGAGATCAACGCATTCCAGATTTCCTTAAGGTAAACAAAAAAAAAGAACACCTTTTTTTCAACATGCTCGATTGTTATAATTATGGATATTTGATAAGTGGTATATTGTTATAAACGAACATTATCAGTCATTGTGTTTTATCATGCGAATGAAGGTCAGGTTCCAAATATCGCATTAGTGAATTATTAGGTAAAAAAATGTACCAGTCTATGAATAAAAGTTACCGACGGAGAGTTAGATCATGATGTGATTTGAAAGGAACTTGTTGTAGTTTTTAGAACCTGCCCTGAGCACTTTATTTTCTGTTTGGGCCTTGTTAATGCCAAAAATTACGTTTGTAAGGCTGTTGCTAACTAACTTATCTTCCCACTCTATGCTTTGGTACCATCGCAGTTTGAAGTGCCAGTATCTTCTCGTCACTCTGGTCAGTATACGGGAAGTGAATGCTGATAATAAGGTGTCTCGATCCTTCTACGCAAATATTTCAGATGAAATGCGGAGCTTTTTTATTATATAGCTGTTGTGAACCGAAATCTTTGTCAGTGGCTCCTGGCTTAAGTCAAGGACACTCACTGGACAAAAATAACTCTGCCACTCTACCTTACCAACAGAATGATTTGTTGTGGTAAAATATCACCCCCGCCGGGTCCAACTTTCAATGGACACTTGGTACTTCCCTTCCAGAAAAGTAATAATGATGAAGATTGTGATAAAAGTAAGAATACCGATAAAAGTTGTTCCACGAAGATGGGAAAAAAATCCATGCAGTCACAAACAAGTCTTTTTAATCAATGTTTAATGAAAAAGTAACGGTAAACTGTTTTCCTGAAGGAAAAGGCTGTCTTTAGTCACCAGACCATTTTCTTGTCTGCTTGTTTTCATCTTTAAACGACGAGTCATCTTTAGATTCCCTAAGTGGACAACAAAATTAAAAAAAAACTTAATCATCATCCTAACAAAAGATGACGATTCCTGTTCGAAAGAAAAATGTATTGAAGTTAAAGATGACTAGAATTTCTTGGGAAATGAAAACTTTTGTTCCAGTTTTACCTTTATGGGACAGCCATATAACTCAATGCGCATGCTTATCCATTTGTGGTAGGATAGTGGATGGATTTTGACACGACGTGCGTGGAATGCCGGCACAAACTCATGAGTAACAATGGAATGGCGATCGAAATTTCCAGGAAATACCTGAAATAAAATTTGTTGAACATCAGCCACTCGTCGCAACTCACGAAATCCATCGGATGGTTGGAGAATCTTTATCGATTAAGAGTGGAATAGCCAATTTGAGCTAAGAAAAATATCTCTAAGAGCCTATCAGAACTCTCAGTAAAACCAAAACAATCTCTGAAGCGAGGAAAAAAGGTGAATGAACGAGTCGCTACTGGATGTAGGGTTACTTCTGATTGGATAAATTGTTGGCGCCATTTTTCTAAATCATTCAGATGAGTAAACGTAAACCAAAGTAGACCCGAATTACTATAAAACACATTCAAAATGTATGTGGCTTTAGTAAAACAGGATTTCTTCAAGATTTACCATCTTTTTCCCATGGCTCATGTAGTAGACCCAATAGGGGCTCACAAGACTGTAGGAAACAGCATAGCTTGTCACCCATTGATCACAGCAGTCTTGTCTCCCTTGTGTGGCGACTTTGGTAACAGTAGATGGTCTGCCAAGATCCACTTGGATCCATTGGTGGGTATCTCTGGTCTTTACACACCAGGCTCCGGCATAACCAGATGGTGGCACAAGGTTTAATCGGCCCAATTTGGCGACATGATATGCGCTGTAGGATGAGGAGGCGGACATTGCACTGTCTTTGATGCGGCCATCTTCCATTCCAAGCGACATCTGGCAGTGATAAGCTTGAATACGTCGTAAAAAGACAAAAGGGGAATAATGGGACGAAAACTTTTTCGAAAGCTATGGTCAATATCAACTAAGCCACAATCAGTTTTTCTTTATTTCTTTTCTCACTTCGATTAAATCAAAATGAGAAGGAAGTTTTTTGGACTGGTAGTGACACAAGAATTGTTCCATAGATGTGTAATGTTTACGAGCCTTGCAGCTGATATCCCAAAACACAGTCCGTATGCTTATCATTTAGATTTTCATGATTACTATACAGCTCAAAAACTTTTTCGGCTGTGATGTCCATAGACAAGAAGTTTCTTCAGAGCCCTAAGGTTGAAGTGTGCTGCAGAGCATAGGTATATGAATGTAGAAAATGCGTAGAGAGAAAAAAAATTCTAAAATGAGAGAAAATCGAAAATAATCAAACTAACTGAGAAGAAAAAACTGAAAAAACGTTACTGGTCCAAGATAATAAAAACTTCACTACTCTCATAACAACGTTTTATATCTTCTTTGTATCTTAAAAAATGCAGGACTTGGAATTAATTGCATCAAGATGAGGTGTATTACCGTTGCATCCGTAAACCTCTGCTCTCATGGAAATATGATTGTGCCAAGTCCACGGATGGAACCGTACATATATGGCTTCGATATGAGGATGGAGGAAGTTGTACACTGGAGTGTTTCCATCTGCATTTCCTCCAAATACCTGGCGATGAAAATTAACTGATTTCCCACCTCAATATCATTATAGTGCACAACTCAGATGATGTTTTTTAAAACTTTTTGTAAGTTTTCAAATTTAAAGAGTAGATCGTGAAAGGAATACGTATGCTAAACCTCTGTGATTTTGATAACTTGGCAACGTTAGCAAATTATGTTTCTTGCCCACATAAAACATATGAGAAAAATAAAAAAAATAAAGTTGGTGATACGAGGTAATATAAAAAAATATAGATACCTAATCTTTCCTTTTCGGCCTTTTATGTGACCTTTCAGTCTTATGAAATTGTAAAGTAAAAAAACATTAACCTGGATTTGTCCATCAGAGAGTCGGTACCAGGCCCAGTGAATTCCATCTGAACTGTAAGACAATTTGAAGCTTGTCACCCTTTGACTGCAACAATCATACCTCCCTTGAATCGCCACCTTAGTCACTGTGGTCTCACGTCCAAAAAAAACTTGCAGCCATTGGTGGTGATTGTTACTTTTAGCGCACCAGGCCCCAGCCTTACCCTTAGCTGGGATCTTATTAAGGCGGGAAAACTGAGGGATTTCGTTAGCGCTGTAAGAGGACGATGCTGATAAAGCACTGTCTGGGAGATATCCGCTTTCCATTCCCAAAGGAAGGGTACAGCTGCGATCTGTTGGAAAAGCAGAGCGTGATGAAAATATAGTCAGACGACTTAAGAATTAACTGGTGCATATTATAAAATTAGTAATTTCATTAGGGCGCTTTCTAAGAGAAACCAGCGCAGAAGGATGTCTTCAGAAAGTGCTCCCATATATGTTGCATCACGAAGGAGGCAGATAATTCTATTTTTTGCCCTTGGTCGGGCTATTATTGCGCTCACGTAAGTTATCTATGGTTACCGATAGAGTTCATCGACGATCTTGCCGCTGTTTGCCGAGAAACAACGGCTGGAGGGAAACAGTGTGGAGCACCTATACCGATGAAAGATTTAAAAGAACTCTTAGGATTTCGAAGGATATCGTTAATTTCATTCTGAGCCGAATCAGCCATAACCTGAAACGGCAGACAATAAATGAAGACCCCATATCCCCTGAATGTAGACTAACAGACATCCGTTCTTGACGTTTCGCAGAATTATGAACGTTTCCTTGATTCCAACTGGATCCATCACTGCTTGTTCCGGTGGTTTCCACTTCTCTGACAATACGCCACTGAAGCCTTCGCTCTCCAACCAAGGACATCTTCGTTATATTCAAACACGGTACACGGCATACAGAATGGTTCTTTGCATGTTAAATATGGAATGATATTTTGTTTCTTTAAAACAAGAGGAACACATGCCTGTTTCTCTCCCCACCATCTTGTTCGCGCATGACACTTAGCTACAAACTAGAGATATCATTAATGTAATACCTGACTTGTATTAAAATTCGCGTGGTACTCATTTTCGCTCAGTTTTGATTTCGCACGATTTAATTTCGCGCACCTTATAGAGGACTTATTCGCGCAGCTTTAAATTCGCGCAGGACATTTTTCTTGTTCGGTTTCTTTACTAGAGTCAACAGATGCAGTTAACCTTTTTGTCATTACACAATTAAAGAATAGAACAGAATTCGCGTAAACCTAAAGCAAGTTTTTCACCGCCCGCTGCCGGCACATTTTTTCACGCATTTTTTTTTGTTTGTTTGACTACAGAAGAATGTCGCATGGTCTGTTCAGTCAGGTGAAATCAACAACAGCGACAAAAACAAGAATCCCGACAGAAATTTCTCAGGTTGAAGAAGATGATGATGAAGTCATTTTTTATTTCTAATCTTTGATGGTAATCTGTGTACGCATAAACAGAACGGATAACTTGCCTTTTTAAACACCAACCTCTAATTCTCACTGAAAAACTCTTTAGTATCCAGTGATACTGTTAACTGTTGTATTATTACCATATGTATTAGTATTTCGTAGTGCATTGTGTAATTCTAAATTCTTAAGTTGTCAATAAAGTTAACATTTCATTTAAAACCTTTTCGCGCGGATTATATTTGGCGCAGTATATAATTTCGCGCACTTACATTGTGCGGGAATTCTAGTACTGCGCGAATTTTAATACAAGTAAGGTATATGTGAAATGTATTAAGTTCGGCACATGAGAAGAGCGACGTCTGAATCAGCTGCCGCTACAATGTCGAATAATCTGACAGACCTTGTCGAACTTGACGATGTTTGCCGCACCTTATTAAAGCGATCGAACCGAACTGATTCAGACGCCGCTCTTTTGCTGGACTAAATCATAGTAAGTAGAGGAGACTGGTTATGAAACCCGGTAAACATCAAAGGGTTAAACAATAGCGCGGTCGGCGATGTTGAACAGACTCGTCACGTGACTCTGACCGTGCACAAGTTCATTCAAGATGGTGGACGGTGTAGACGATCTGTTTGTGTGGGGAGAAGATTTTGAGTCGATCTTGGGTAATTTGGAAGACGATGACGAAGTAGAGGAACAATTTTCCGTCGCAGTTAGAAATGTAAGTTGAAAAGGTTGCAATTTCGAGTTGTAATTTTGCGCTACTGAGCTTAAATTTGCCACAGATGGGCTACTCGACGCGTGTAAAAACGAAACTCAACAAACGCTCGCGTATAAACCAGGCTTATATATTGCCGTTTCTTCAAAGGCAATCTTCTTTGGGGCTCCTACGAAACAAGGAAGAATTATGAAAAGCTTCTAAAGAGCTCAAATCTCCGGAATGTGGTGATTTGTCGAAATTATTTTAAGTGAAACCTTGTAATCGATAGAGCTTCGCGACTTCACGATACTCTCTTGATCGAAAAAAGTGGCCACCTAATTTTTATTTTTAAAATCTGAAGTAGTTTATTTATTTTACAATGGTGATGCTTGTAATATCTTTGTAGGCTCAGCGTCAAGAAATTGTTTGTCCTGACTGCGGAAAGAAATACAAAACAAGAGCAGGTTGTGACAGACACAGGGCTACAAAACACAACAATCAACAGGAAGGATTGGAGCAGGTGCAACAGTTGAGCCTGAGTGTTCTTGTAGAAATAGTTAACCGTGCTGTCCGCAATGTTAAGGAAAGGAAAGTTTTTGCAGAAAATTTAAGGATGGAGCTCAGCAATTACTCATACCAACTGCTACAAGAAGACAGCAATGAATTCTCTGCTAAAAAAGCAATCTATGAAGGATATACAAGAAATGGAGATGCAGAAAAGTTTTATGGCAAATATTATGCAACAGTTACTGTAAGGTCAACCCAATTCTTCAGTGGACTTTCTAGGAATGAAGCAACACTACTTGCAACCAAAGTTGCTGACTGTTTGGTGGCATACTCTATGCAACAAAAACACTCAACTGAAAGCAGTCATAATATAAAAACTGTGTTGTCAGTCAATTAAGTGAATTCATTACTGAGGAGATTAATCGCATAGCATCAAGTATCCCCTCTACTAACTATGACTAAATTCATCAATTAGGTTCCGTACTTGAGTGAAGCGGCGTCTGAACCAGGCCTAAGGGTCTCCCCGGATACTCTTGATTGTTCAATGCTGAATAATACAAGGAAAGTTGTACCTACCCCAAATTGACCTGGCCATGTTAGAGTGTCTCGTACTTCTTTTCAGGAGAGATGCTTTTAGAGCTTTGTTTTGTTCGGCTTTGGAAACCTGCAGGTTTAAAAGTTGGGAAACTTCATATTTTTATTATATTTATTTTTTTTTGATAGAATCTTTAGTTCTTTGATCTGATTATTAATTTTTCTTTCTGATCATTTGTTCTGTCAGCCCTGTTTAAAAACTGTGCTGGTATGTTTGCTTTCCTCTATCGAGACACTGTCAACGTATAGATGATGCCCAATGTCGTGATATTGCCTAGCCTCCGTTTCCGGCCAGCGGTCATCATATTATTAGTACTTAGGCCATCGCATCTAAAATATAGGTTTTGATTATTCAGTGTTTTCGCGTGTGTGCATTCTTACAATCTACGCGAGAAATACAATGGCCAACCCCCTAATTCACGAAACCTCCCTACAGCGGGCGATTTTCATTGTGCAAGAATCGAATCAGGGTTTAGGGTTTGGTAAGAGCTTTAGATTGGTAAGAGCTTTAGTACATTTTGGAACACCATGATGAGATTTATATGATTCTTCGATGTATTTCAGGTAAATCTGGATTGCATCACCTTATGGCTGCTTGTGATTGAATTATTACCCTTCCGACAAGTTTCAGTCTCAAATTTAAAGGAAAATAGTTTTGATTTTATGATAATCTCAGTAGATCATAGTCCAGGTTTTTTTAATTTTTTAATATATATCGCTCTACTTTCTAACTTGGTCGAGACATTGAGAAAGGAATTCATCGAAAGCAGAAGAAAAATAAAGTGAACGTGTCGATTTATTTGTGTCCCTCTAAGCACTGTTTTGTTCCTCTTTAGCAGGATAGATTTTTTTTATGAATGTTTGTAAATCAAGTCAACATAAGTATTTTTTAGAAACAACGGGTCAGGCTTGAAAAATTTTTGCTGATGCATTTTTAAACTGTTTTGGAAACTAGTGGTGATTATATGCTCATTTGTCTGCCAGCTTGTGAAAAGGAATCCAGTGAGAAAATTGCCATGAAGTTGCAGATTCAAGGTTTAAATTCGGATACGTTTGCCTCCCGAGATTTAAGACATTAACCGGAGCTTTCGTCAATAATGATACACCATACATTTGATCCAAGGTGAGTTTTACGCCTTTGCCAATCGAATTATATAGGGATGCTAGAATTATATCTTGGTAAAATTTAGAGGCCTTAAAATTGATTTCACCATTTCAATAAGTTGTTCAGATTGCGGCTTCTCCACCATAAATGAAGATCGCACTTTTTTTTTAATATGCATAATAGTCGCGTTAAAAACTATTTAGGAAACTGAGAGTCATTGATTACTTTTGATGATAATTCCTCATTACTCACCCGAACAAACTTTGCTCCTGGAGAAACTCCAAACAAAATGAGGACTAGAAAGAAATTGCTTAGGCGAAACATTGTCACCCGACCGATAACTGGCGTTTGTCGTAGAGCTTGCACTGAAGCAATTAACAATAAAGATGAACTCAGCGCAATATTTTGAAGCTTAAATACATTCAACCGTTTCAGTTCGGCAAGCAAGAAATTTCCCGCCTTAATCAGTCATTGTTAAATATGCTAAAATGTTGACCTTCATGCTGAAACTGATTTAAGCACTTTTGAAAAACAGGAGGAGATGTCGGCAGATTAAACATTCTGTTCTCACATTCTCTTTAACAATCTTATTATCTATATTCCTTTCCAACGTGCGGTGTTTAGTCTCACGCTTCAAAATGAGAACTGAGAAACTTTTAGCTCGTGACCCTGAGCATAGTTAACTATACCCTGAGGTCATACATACTGTCAGGTGGAGAAAGATCGACAGCGTTTGCTAAAGTCCTGCGACGTGGCCAATTCAAAGAAATTTGCATTTGAACGAAAACATCCGAGCTCACAAGACATTCATGACCATAGAAAGTAAAGTTGGAACCCGATGACCGTGAGGAAAAATAACTTGCCAGTATTTGTCTGAGTAGTGAGGTTACACACGAATCTTACTGCAAGGTGAAACGGCTAAAAAAGGACTCTGATTTGAAAAATGATAGCGTATTCAGAGTTTATGCAAATACAGTCACTCGGACGTACAATTTTGCAAACCACTGTGTAAAAGCTTCATAAAGTTCAATTATTACCATTTGACTGTTTGTCTGAAACACCATATTTAATTTGCCTAATAAACGAATTTGTCCACAACTTCTTTTAAGTTTTAAGTACTAAAAAATCACACCAAAGTAAAATGAAAAATAAAATAAGACAAGTTTTGTTTAACTTTTTTACAGACAAAGAAAAATCGAATCAAACAAAAACAATCAAGGTGGAAGAGTGCGAAAAGTCGTGCTCCTCCTCCTCCTCAACGCCGGCGTCCTACTGAACGATTTTAATTGGCGGTGTGAATCGCCAACTAAAATCGCGCACTGAATGTTGAACTGATGAGGATAGATTTCACGCCAACCACAGCTATTTAAGGCTTTGAGTTTCCTCTCGTGCTTTTCCCATAGCTAAACATTACTGTCTTACGCCATTGTGTAAATGCGTGATAAATTCACCCGACCTGATTTCGTTGACTTTATGATGGCGACTTTCGTCGATGTGTTTTACAAAACAGCGACATTCTTTAGAGAAAATTCAGACTTAGCTGCATCATAAATATGTTATGATTCAAAAGACTATAGTCTTCCTATAGCAAAAAAATTTTGCCTCTGTTCTTTGAGTCTGAGGTTTTGTTTGCTTTTTTTTGGGGGGGGGTGGGAGGTTGTTTTTCTGAGATAAGATTACTAAAACACACTACTAAGTGAAATTTAATTCTTAGACAATGAATTAAATTTTTTTTTTTTTGCTTTAGGTAAAAAAACGGAATGTCCTATGATTCCTGGTAAAGATGCTACATCTAATAGAGATTTTTTCATTCGGCTATCTAGGAGAAACCTTTACCGACTGGAAGAAGCGGGCTCGAGTTGATTCCAGTGTATAAAAAAGATGATGAAGCTGACACAAACAACTATAGACCTATATCGCTTCTTAGTGTTCCAAGTAAAATAATGGAATCTTGT